TGTTAACCTAATTGAAAGAGATCCTATGATAAAGGAAGTCGATAACTACTCCGGTTGTGGCTAGGAAACTTCGCCCAAGTATCAAAGGCCTATCTTCGTTAGAATAATTTCTTTTTAGTGTAAAAAGTAGAAGAATATATTGGAGTAAAACTCACCTCTATTATAAAATTCCTCTATTTTAGAATAAAAAACAAGGAAATACTTTGGAGATAGATGGTCTTTGATATGAGATAGTAAACCAAATAAAATATTTTGGTAATTGATTGTAGTTAGCCGGCTGCACGGCAACTTGCCTGATAAATTGGTTAAAGAAAACAAATATATTTTTGGTCTACACTTAAAATAATTAAAATAGCGTCTATTGGTATTTGATTAATGGATACATATAAAAAGAAGAAGATGTTGTTGGTCTTTAAAAAATATAAAACTCTCGTTGTAACAGCTAGCAAATCTGAAACTGATTGTTCACCTTCTTCTCGTTAATTTGCTTTTACAAAAAAAAAAAAAGAGGGAGAAAACACACATCGAAGTCTAGTGCTCGTGTTAGACTCATGTGTCATCGTCAGTAATCGGAGCCATGATGCACTTCCTTTCTTGACAATATGATCTCGAGATAGAGCTGTCAATTATGACTAGCCCCATGTTCATTTAATCCGCACCGCAAGGTCCGCAACAAGCTTTGTTTATTTGCGGGTTTAGCAGGTTTAATAAACTAAAAACTAAAATTATTGTGACTATATATAGTTTAATAAACTAAAGTTTACGGTGCTTAATCTTATCTTTATCATCAAATATATATGATCCCATATATATATGTACATGTCTGATTGATAGAATATGAAAATGGGTCTATTGAAAGAAAAACGATAAAACTATACTAAAAAGACGTATTTGATGAAAGTAACATTTATTTGGATAGGGAGTTGCACCTCAACTCTGTTATCTAAATAAGAAAATGCTTTGGTTGCTAGTTTTTTTTTTCCTGCTAAAATTTAAGTTGCTAGTTGTTGATTAATGTTAAAAAAAGAAGAAGTACACACAATTTGTTGGTCTTTTTAAAATAAAAAAACTCTCACCTAAGAACAGAGTAGACTTTTTCAACGTATAATATATTACTACTTGACATGCAATACTTAATTTAGCTTGTCGGCTGCACCGCAACTCGTCTCAGTTGGTAAATAAGAAAGTAACGTGTTGGTCTCAACTCTCAACAAAAAAAGGGACCAAGGAGCTAGCCTCAGAGAGATTCATTCATATCTGAAACTTTTTACCTTCTCCTTCATTTAAAAAAAAAAAAAAAAGCCCAAAATGGAAGAAAGTTGGAGGTTTAGTTCTCGTGCTATACTTGTGTGCTTGAAGTCCGATCCAGCTCAGCCGCACTTCATTACCCGAAAATATGCTCAGCCGAGGATCGAGTGCATCATCTGCGATGGAAAAAACAAAAATGGTGGGTATCATCTCTATTGTGATACATGCAATTCCTATATTCACTACGGATGTTTTTTTAAACCAAGATGTCGTCTCTCGGATTTAACTAAGCCTCACACCCTCGAGATGAGATTTGGGAAATTCGAAAGTTGCTTCGCATGTGGTCGCCCTGGTAAGGAATCAACTTGGCATGATAGTTCAAAATTTTTCCACTGTGATACTTGCAAGAAGAGTTTCCACGACGATTGCCACTTGTACCCACCAGAGATCAACCATCCTTTTCACTCTCTCCACCCTCTCACACTCACCTTCTCCTCAGATTCTTCTTATCCTTCCGATTTTATTGCTCATAAACACCTACCCACTTCACTGAAACGAGAAGACCCCTTTGGTTCCAAAGCAAACCCTGAAACAGACCCCGAGGATGCCTCTATTTCCGATGCCACATGCAACTGCTGCCAGAAGAAGCTTCAACATGTATTCTATCATTGTTCTGTCTGCAACTTCAGCATAAACCTCCCTTGTACAAGAAACCCACCACCCCTTACAATCACAAATTTCAAAAGCCATAAGCATATCCTCACCCTTTTTCCTAGACGAATTCATTCGCCATGTGATGCTTGTGGCTTGTCTCTCGAAAACACCCATGATGTTGTCTACGCTTGTGTTCCGTGTAACTACATAGTCCACAGGACATGTTTCTACTTGCCCCGTGTCATTATGATCACCCGTCACCCTCACCGTCTATCTCTCTCTCCCTCCCTTCCTTCAGGATTATTCTCTTGCGGAGTCTGTCGCCATACAATTAATGTCAGCTACGGCCAATTCTCTTGTCAAAAGGGATGTCACTACGCTGTCCATTCCAAATGTGCAGTGGGAGATAATGTCTGGGACGGTAAAGATCTTGAAGGAGTGCCTGAAGAAGCTGATGAAGACCTCAATTCATTTGTGAGGATCGATGACGAGACCATACAACATTTCAGCCATGAGCATCCTCTAAACCTCTGCAAGGAGAACAATGTTTGGGGTAAAAACAGGTTCTGTGAGGCATGCACCCTTCCAATATTAGTATCGGAGAGTTCTTATAGTTGCATGGAGTGCAATGGATTCATTCTCCACGAAGCATGTGCATCCCTTCCTCGCAAAAAAGGCCATCCTTTACACAAACACCGCCTTGTTCTCCATCCAATTCCTCCTGGGCCATTCGAATTCGAGCAAAGGATACTGTCATATGGAGGGTATGAAACTGGTTCGCGATACTTGAAAGACATGTTCAAATGCAATGGTTGTGACCAAATATGTTGTGGTTTCGTGTATCGATGTGGCGAAGAAGGCTGCAAATTTCAATTAGACGTCAGGTGCGCTTCACTTCCCGATCCTTTAATCCACGGAAGCCATCCAGATCATGATCTCTTCTTCAATCTCACCAAAGGAGAATGCATGGGGTGTAAGTCTAGTGATTGTTCACCTTATTACCTAGAGTGTATGGAATGCAAGTCATTTTTGGGCCTCAAATGCGCTACTTTGCCAAGTGTGACACGTTACAAGCACGACAAGCATCCACTCACTCTTTGCTACGGGAAAGAAGAAACGTCAAGGGGTCAATATTGGTGTGAAAGATGTGAAACAAAATTAGATGCCAAGGAGTGGTTCTATGCATGCGATGACTATTGCAGTGTCACACTTCATGTTAGTTGTTTGTTAGGAAAAATGTTCTTGAAACCCACGTCCTTCCTAGTAGATAATGATGATTTTTTGTTTTCAATTATTCGCAACAGTGATAACACTCGGGCAATTTGCTATGACTGTCGTCGTCGTTGCGTAGGGCCCTTTTATTTTCAGCTTAACTATCATATTCATATTTATTTTTGTTCTTTGTATTGTAGTTGGGACTATTTAGAATCATAAGTATTCATGTATTATTAAGGGTTCCTTTGGTTGTCGTTGTAAA